TGTGTGTGTGTGTGTGTGTGTGTGTGTGTGTGTGAGCTGAATAGATGATCAGTGTGTCTGAGAGCCAAACTAGGCTACTGCTGCACCACACCAACCCTCACCTGACACACACACACACTCAAGAGCAGCCGTTATCTCCAAACCAAAGTAGAGTTGGCAAACATATCCATGGCTGCAGATGGGATCTCTTGTGATACGAGATATAGGTGTGTGTGTGTGTGTCTGTGTGTGTCTGTGTGAGTGTGTGTGTGTCTGTCTGTGTGTGTGTGTGTGTGTGTGTGACCATCTAATCTGTCTTTCTGGACATGTTTTCTTTTTATCTCTGTGTGTGGTTTCTGTATGTTCACGCATCTTTTGTGTAGTGCATGTGTGTGTCTGTGTGAGTGTGTGTGTGTCTGTGTGTGTGCTCGTTTTTCGGAGCGCAGCCAGGATATGGCCTCAGGGCTGCTGGGGGTATTAGGGACTATTTTTTAGCAGGGAAGCGGATTAGGGGCGCGCGGGGAGCGGCGTGGCCGTGGCTGATTTTCTGTCAACAGCCGCGGTTATCCCTCAATCCTCCCTGTGAGGGAACTGGGACTCTGAGCTGCACCCCGGGCTCGCGGAGAGAGAGCAGGGCGGGAGTCGGAGTCACCAATCAGAGAGAGCGAGGGGAAAGGTGGGGAGGAGAGAAAGAAAGCATCATTTATGATATCATCAGCTCGTGAGAAGCTCAGGCGTCGGCTGCGAGGAACAGAATCCACATTGCTGGCACGTGAACGCTCGCAGAGACCGTGGAGCCGCCGCGTTTACCGCATGATGGGTGTGGGCGCGAGTGCGTGAACGAGATGGATGCAGGAGCTTCTCGTGTGGTCTCCTCACGCACGATCGGTCCGGCGTTTGGCTCTCACACGCAGCGCTCTTACAAATACAGGCACAGAGCCCGTCTCTACAAAAACACCACAAACACAGGGATGGGAGGGGCTAATGTAAGACGTTCACCAGTGATTGGTCCTCAGGTTTTGTCACCATGATGTCCTTCCCACTAAGGCGAGCTCAGTTACTGCTGAGCCGCTCCTCTAAAGCCCGCCTGGCTCCCCGGTGCTGCTGGGAAACTTTACATATTCAGCTCATTTCAGCCTGAAGGGTCAAAGCCCGACATGGTGCCGAGGTCAGACTCAGGGTACCGTCACTGATGTCTTGAATCGATTCGATTAAATTTGATTCAATTTGATTTGAATCTGGGAAATTTTGACATTCAGAAATATTATAATTCAGATCAGAACATTTACATATTTTTGTATCTATAAAAAGGAAGCTGACACTCGCAAGACTATCAAAGGTGTGAGCATCACAGCAGAGGCCTTTGTGTCAAAGTAGCTGA